TATATATAGTTGAAAATTCGTATGGAGTTGAAAATTTGTATATATAGTTGAAAATTCGTATAGAGTTGAAAATTCGTATATAGTTGAAAATTCGTATATATAGTTGAAAATTCGTATGGAGTTGAAAATTTGTATATATAGTTGAAAATTCGTATAGAGTTGAAAATTCGTATATAGTTGAAAATTCGTATATATAGTTGAAAATTCGTATGGAGTTGAAAATTTGTATATATAGTTGAAAATTCGTATAGAGTTGAAAATTCGTATATAGTTGAAAATTCGTATATATAGTTGAAAATTCGTATGGAGTTGAAAATTTGTATATATAGTTGAAAATTCGTATAGAGTTGAAAATTCGTATATAGTTGAAAATTCGTATATATAGTTGAAAATTCGTATGGAGTTGAAAATTTGTATATATAGTTGAAAATTCGTATAGAGTTGAAAATTCGTATATAGTTGAAAATTCGTATATATAGTTGAAAATTCGTATGGAGTTGAAAATTTGTATATATAGTTGAAAATTCGTATAGAGTTGAAAATTCGTATATAGTTGAAAATTCGTATATATAGTTGAAAATTCGTATGGAGTTGAAAATTTGTATATATAGTTGAAAATTCGTATAGAGTTGAAAATCCGTATATAGTTGAAAATTCGTATAGAGTTGAAAATTCGTATAGAGTTGAAAATTCGTATAGAGTTCAAAATTTGTATATATAGTTGAAAATTCGTATATAGTTGAAAATTCGTATATATAGTTGAAAATTCGTATGGAGTTGAAAATTCGTATGGAGTTGAAAATTCGTATAGAGTTGAAAATTCGTATAGAGTTGAAAATTCATATAGAGTTGAAAATTCGTATATATAGTTGAAAATTCGTATAGACTTGTGGTCATGGTTCACTCCTGTATTTTGGTGGGTTTACAACCCTTCCACCTTTAATAGTTGTGCTCCGCGATCAGACATATAGGCCGTATTGTATAATATACCTTGATTCCAAGAGCACAGTAACCTTTCAGAAAGTCCTCGCAGACCACAGCTTGTCGACCGACGTTCACATGAGAATAGGGACAGTCGTCTCTGTTGCACTTGCCTTTGAGAAAATACTGGCAAATAGGCATCTGAAAAAAGAATAGGGTAGAGAATAAATAGGAAAGAGAGAGTATAATACTTTTTGTTTGTGGAAACACCACGTAAATTTATTACTGCAAAGCTTTGCAAAAAGTATTATATGTTTTATCGCCATGCAATCCTACAAAGAACTTATTAGGAGAGAGAGAGTAGTTGACAAATTGCTTTACAAGTGGCCTAATTTTTTGTTTTAGTAGAGAGTAGAAGTGAAGGGGGAAAGAGGACAGACTATTACACTACATTAGAGAGAACCAAAGTAAGAATCCTACACCTCTTAGAAGGTTAGAAAAAAGTTGGATTAGAAAAGAAAAGTCAAGCAAATTAGGGTTCTGTATGGATTTGCAGAGAATGGCACAAGCGAGGAACGATCATTACATAAAGGGGGAAAGGCTGGCTGCTGGCAACCAACAAAAAATAATCGATCCATCAATTGTTGTTTTCTCCTTCTTTGCAATTTTTTTGCATCCCTCTTCTTCCCCTCTAGAGTTCTATGCCTCTTTGCTACTTAACACGGATGAACAACGCACCTTTTCTTTGTCAATTTTATGTGAAAACGGACAAGTGCCATCCATCTGTTGACATTTCCCACGAAGAAACCTTTATGGAAAAGAAGATACGGCATGCAGGGAAGTTGTGGCCATAAATTTTGAAATGCTCCTTCTAATGAGAGCACTTATTTCTTATTAATATTCTTCCAGATTTTTATACACTTGGTTACAAAATACATCTCACCTTGTACACACCGCAATTTTTGTTGGATCATGAATATACGGACATTTTCCCTGTGTGTGCTTTGTACATTTTCCTGTAATACAACAAGTATTACACATGAACTTAGAAACACCCTTCAATCTCCATGCTCCGTTTATGGAGAAATACCTACCAAACTTATTATAAAACATGCAATACTCCTCAGACTTGGACTTTTGTTTCTTAACTTTCCTCATCACGGCTTGAACATTTTGTAAAGTCCTTTTTAAGATTTTACTACACAAATAAAACAATTTATATTTAATAACGATATAACTTTTAACTGCAGCTACGCTCAGATATGGTCATGAATGTATTTCTGTGCATCCTAACTCAACCATAAATTTCTGAACATATATGTGTGACCAAAACTAAAGAACAAAAGACTTACTTTGCTTTTCGTGTCTTGTTCTTATCAACTGAATTTTGCCTTTTGAAGATTCTATTCACTGACACTGTATTAGTTGATGAACCAACACTTGGTCTCCGGTAAACATGAAGTGAATGCCTTCGTGGCGAGGATGAAAACATGGTCGTATAATCTTTTGATGGTATGGTCTTCTTCAGAGATTTACCATGAGAACTTATGAGGTACACACTTCCACCAATTTTGATTTTTCTTTTTAACTGAGGTCGCACTGAAAGTAAAGGCAAAAAGACTTTTCCACTCAAATACTTTCATTTTAGTTATTCTAAAACATGATACTTGCTATCTTGAAAATTTTCACTCAAACCAAGTTTGGACAGGTGATTTTTCAAAGAGCATATACATACCATTTGTTTTGAGTGAATGTTTCGATGTAAAAGATCTGTTTTGAGTCTGAGAGCCACGGGCAATGTACTTCATACGCCTGATGAAATGAAAATTGAAATGAAATCATATTTTCGTTGAAGACTTGAAGATACAATACTACTAATAAGACATTATGACACTGACAGTAGTGTGACTAGGCCTGGTGTTTTATTCCTGTACAGTTTTCTGAATATAATTTTGCCTCAGTTGCACAATGCAAAAAGAAGGTTTTCTCCGTAATTCGGGCTTCACCCTCTAGTAATGCAGGACCAACAAGGGATGACCCTTACTGAACTTCTAAAGAGAACAGTTACGAACTGACAGAGCTGTCCATTAAAACTTAACAATTCAACTAACCTAGCAACAAATCCTTTGTTTTGTGATGTAACCTTGGCTCCAGTTTTAACAGGACTTGAACCCAAGTAATCTGTATTCACTCCTGACACCTTTCCTTCGATACTCTTTCTTCTCTTCAGACAAAATCTCGAATTATGAGCAAACTTCGCCTTGCTTCTCACAGCTGGCTGATCACTTTTCATATTCAGATTTGATTGAGACAAACTCTTACTCCACTTTAGTCTTGACCGTCTTGGAATTGTTCGTGACTGGAGAATATTTTTAGTATACGGACTATGGAATACACCCTTGGACTTAGCATTTTTTGGTATGCGATTTACTGAAATCCTTGAGTGCCCTGCACTTGAAACGGCTTTCCTGAGTGTAGTAGAACTTGTCTTTGCCTTTCGCCATTTGGCTTTCAAGGCAATACGTGTTTGGAGTTCTTTTCCAAACAAATTCTTAGACCTTGGATTCTTACTGACCGAATCATTCCTTAGTTGACTGGCACTCTTACGTCGCCATTTTAATTTTGCTCCTTTGGTTATGGTAGCATTTGGTACATTACTTTTGGTGGTTTCAGTTGATACCTTTAAAGGTGTTCTATGGCTTTTTGGCAAAGTTGTTGTCCTTCGATCCAGTGAGGTCGTAGATTGGACATGACTGTTTGAGGTATTATTTAATACCTTTGAGTTGGTTAATATATGGCTTCTGGGCAAATGCACAACCCCTCTGTTTAATGAAGTACCGGTAGTAGATTTGGCAGTACTTATATTACTATTATTTACTACATTTGAAGCTGTCTTCTGGCTTTTTGGCAAATATTCAGCCCTCCTGTCTAATGTTGTGCTTGTTGAGATAGAGTTTGAGTGAAAACTCATAGTTTTTGTGAGAGGCTTAGAAGCCTTTGGCAAAGCAACAGTCCTTTGGTCTGATGTTGAGGTCTTGTTTGAGTCACTGCTACGTAAAGGGTGCAGACTTGTGGCTTTTGTAAGAGGTTTAGCAGACTTTAACGAAACTACAGTCCGTCGGTCTAATGTTGATGGTGTAGTATTTAAATGACTACTGGATGAGGGTCTATTAATAATAGTTGAAAGACTTTTAGTTTTTCTAAAAGGTTTACCAGACTTGAAGGAATTTAATAAAGGATTTTTGGTAAGAGTCTTGGTATTGGATGACACCATTTTGTTTTCTTCTGTTGATTTTAAATTTTCTATCTGTGTGCTTTTCTTTTCATTCTTTGTCCATGTTAAGTTGCCCTTTGGTTGCCTTAATGTACCACTTGACTGTTTGGTTATTGAATGTCTGCTGGAAGGAGCCCTAGCAACCATTTTGAATGGTGTTTTTGTAACCGAACTTGAACTTGTTAGCGGCGTTTTTGTCAGAACAGTTGTTTTAGATGCATGACCATCAATTGCTGATGCTGACTTTGTAGATGTTAGTTTCCTAGTATGTAATTTATATTTCATGCTAGGATTACTTTTCTGTTGGTTTGTTGATTGCTGTACGTTACTGTTACCTTCTACATTATGAACAGTTCTTGACAACTGACTTTTGACAATTTCATGTCCATGCCCTCTCTGACTCGGCTGTTTATTTTGGTTTAAATTACTTTTATTTAGCGCACTTTCGCTTTTCCATCTTGTCCAGGTTTTGTTTTGTTTAGAATTTGGGATTATGTTTTTCACAACCGGTTTATCGTTCTGTTTGTCATTCTTGTGTGAGTCAATCAAATCTTAAAATACACAAATAGGCGACGTACTAAAATTACAGTGCTTATTCAAGGCAACATACTAAGGGCCTGTGTATATGGAGGCAAGTTACCTGGCAAGGCGAGTTACTTGCCCAGGTGGGACAAACAAGCCTACTGTTTATATGGAAACGAGTTACTCGGCATTTGCTGCATGATTGCTGCATGACACCGATTATAGTGCTAAAACACAAAATGGATTTCAATCATTTGAAATGCTAAAAACATTACAAAATATAGTGAAAGAATAAGCGCCGAGCAATTCAGTTAAACTTATCTATTGATTTGTATGTATTTTTGTACGTACATTCTATCTTGGGCGGCCGAGTTACCCGGGAAAAGTGTTTACATGGAAAATATTTATCCTGCCTAGGCGAGATCCCGCCTGCCAAGGCGAGTTACTCGGCTGCATCATGTAAACAGTCACCCAGGATTACTATTAGTTTCTATAATAGCCGGGATCGTTGCTGAGTGACTCGCCTTGCCGGGTAACTCGCCTTCATATAAACAGGCCCTAACACAGATTATTATTAGCCTCGGCCTTTGGCCTCGTTTGACAAAACTACTTCAACAATGATGTAATTTGGGGATTTTATACAGTAATTTAGTACGCTACAAATAAAAAAACCCAACATATCAGTATACCCTAACTCCCATAGATTTCAAAACCTTTTAAAAAGGTCACGTAATGTCAAAAATAACATCTTACTTGACAAAAAAGCAATTTGTTTACGAAGATTTTCAGCACCACTGTCGGCCATCTTTGATATCATCTGTGATATGACGTCAGAATTTATAATTTCTCATGTTCACGTGATCAAGCACAGCCAATCAGATTCCTTCCTTATAGACTATAATAGATACACCAAAATAACATTTTACAAAAGTTAAAATTAATTTCATTTAAACTCTGTTTTTCTCATTTTTAGCATAAAGATTTCATACAATGAACATATGATGATGAATGAATATATGATGCGAGTTTTTAAAATATAGTATTGTTCTTATAATATTTTGTCATATTACTGGGTATTCGAAATTTTGAAAAAAAAAACATGAGCAGCTTGTTGTTCTTCGGTAGAAGCCGGTGAACTTCCGACGTCATTTTGAGAGATTGAATTTTGTATTGCCATCGGCACGTTTGAGAGTAAAAATGGCGTGCAGATGTAAATTGTCGTGGTTCTTCCAAATGCCATAAAAAACTTATTTTTAGGTCGGAGTCTTTTGTTGCCATTGGAAAAGAATTGTATATATACCTTAAAAGGTGAGTATAGTTCTCAAATAGATAGTTTGTACATAAAATACTTTGAGTCTGTAAAATGCTTGAGTACTCCTATGTTTTTGAAAGATATACAAGGCTAAGAATCATTATACGAGGGGTTTGTACTGTATTTATATGAATTTGTCACTGTTAGTTTGGCAAATTGTGTGAAGTTAAATAGAAGTGACTCTAACCAGTTTGTTTAATTGAGAAAATTAGCTGTTTGGAGCATTCTTAGGCTTCTTTCACATTGGGACCGTTCTCAACTTAATTACAGCATCTCTCCTTGCATTTAGATGGAATACACGAAACTGAGCTCCGCTAGCCTTAACCCTCACATGGCGGCTCAGCTGTGTATTTTCACCGAAAACTTTGGGAAAACTCAGTGCACACGTTGACCAAAATCACATGACGAAACTATGGGTTCTCATTGGCTTAGTTAATACAAGCAGCTCAGCACTAAGCTCACAACGTTCGCAGACACTGAGATTTTTCCTCACAAGGTGAAAAATATCAAACACGATAGATATTTTCCTCAAGGCCTTGAGAGGTTAAATCATCACAAAAACTATCCGCACACGAGAGAAACATGCGAGCTGGCTGGCATGTTCTCCCATGTGAACAATAGTAACCAGTCAACCAGCAACTTGTGTAATGTTTCAAATTTACTTCAAATTTTAAATTGGAAGTGAACGCCAATCCCCCTTTAGACTTCCGGTACATTTTACTATTAGTGTATAGCAGTGGATCTTCCTTTCTTCCTCTCCGGAAGATGAAATTTTCTGCCACAGTGAGATTATGTTTCAGGGTGTTGTTCTATATAGCATTAATAAACATGGCCGGATTTTGAGGGGAGGTATGCACCTTCCCTGAGATCATTTTGCACCTCCCCTAATTCTTTTCCATCTCCCCCACTATTCTTGCCAAAATCTGACCTTGATGGAAAATATAATTTGTCTTCCCACTAAACTTTTCATCATTATTTACAATTAGGAAATAATCACAGTTAAAATGTCTGAAGTGGCAAAACTAGATGGGGCTATATCAAACTGTGTTGCTATGGAGACCACTTCTGATAAACTCCCTAATGAAAATTGTCATAAAGACGGCATGACTGATGGTGGTTTAGTGAAAGATGTTGGAAAGACGGAGGCTTCTTTAAAAGATCTTGATCTTGATGAAGGAGAGTTAGGTTAGTTTTTTAATTGACTTTGGAAGATGAACCATACATTTATACTGAACCCAATTTCAAAGTTGAGTTATTCACAATCAAGAGTTAGTTTGCACACTTTTAAATATCATGCCAAGGCATGCTAAGAAAGCTGTAAGTAGTCCTTTAAAATTTAATTGAAAAGCAGTTTGAAATTATAATGCCACCTTCATAAGACTTTGTTTGAAAAGAACACACACAAAACACCATGTATCCTGCCCGGCTTACAGTACAAAGATACCCATTGATACAGTCACCCTATTAAGATGGCCAAATTTTTATGACATGCAGATTATGATGAAGAAGAAGGTGAAATTCTTGAAGAAAAACAAGCAGCAGTTGATCCAGCAGCATCATCAACAGAAATCAATAATCTGAGTGACAAACTGGAGAAAGTGATGGAAGAAGGAGAATTAAAAGAAAGTGATACAGAAGAAGGAGAAATGAAAGATAGTGATGTTGAAGAGGGAGAGATAAAGGATGAAGGAGAAGAAGGAGAAATATTGTCTGATGATGAGGTGAGAAACATTGCATTTACTTATCATGGTTCTTTGTGGGTATTCTCTTTCTCCTGGAGGAATAAATTCTTTAGCATTATGCATCATAGCAAAATAACATAATAGGACACATTAATTTAAGGAACATTATGACTCAATGATTTTGATCACAATTACTCATTCAAGAGCATTTGGGTAGTATCCACAAGTTTAGTAGCATACACTCAAGTTGTTTTTCACAATTCTTAACTCTGTGATCTTTAGTAGACAAGCATATATGTTGACTTTCTATTCAGTGTCTCAGTCAGGCTCCATCAAGAGGCAATTATATTGATGATCTAAAATCTCAAAAGTTTCCCATTGTGACTGCAGTGAACCGTAGGGAAAACTTTCACTAAACTGTGCAATTACTATCCATCTTTTATTGATCTTTGTTTTGTCTGGCCATGTAGAAAAAAGAAAAAGAAGATGGTAAAATCACAAAGGTTTGTACTTGATGTTAGAAACTATGAGCATAGCAGTCAATATCAGCTTCAGTGAGAATTGCTTAATTTATTTTCATTTTTTTCTTAGGATGGTGAACTTGAAGAGGGTGAAGTTTATGAACCTGGACAGCAAGGTATAGGAACACATTTAATGATCATAACTTAAGTGTAATGGACCTTTCCCCTTATAACTAAAATTTTGATCCAGACAAAAATTTCATCACAGCTTGAAAGAGCATCACACAATTAGTAATATTCTAAAGTTTCGTTGTGAAATGTGTGAAATGCGGATAATATAGCCTTGCGAAGTTTGCCGTTTTTTCAGTCATATTGTATTATGCACAGGAAATTGACAGCCCAATCGGGTGTTGGGGCATCAATTTCACGTTTGTAATACAAAATGACTGAAAATTGCAAATTTTGCAGGGCTATATTATCCGCATTTTACAACATTTTGCAACAAAACTTCGGAATATTACTAATTTTGTGATGCTCTTCCAAGCTGTGATGAAATTTTTGTCTAGACTTGTCTAGATCAAAATTTTAGTTATAAGGGGAAAGGTCTATTCAATGTGACTGTAATTTCATCTTCCTGGGGAAGCAACATGTACTGTACTTAACTATATTTAAATGTTAAATGTGTTAAATTAAATATGATTCTATGTTACTTTTAGATTTTAGTCAAAGAAAACTTTGTAGATACTTCAGCAATTCAGGTGATTTATTTTAAAACAAAAATAATGACTATCACATTTGATTATTTGATTTAAAATAGTATAAGACTTAGAGTATAACAACCTCAACCTTGTAAAGATTATAACAACCTCAACCTAATATCTTTACATAGGCCAATGCTCATGGGGTATGAGCTGCAGATTTCTTCATCCTGGTCATAATGATAAAGGTAACAGCATCTTGACAACATGTGTCTTACGTCATTTACGTAGCTATGAAGTACTGAGCATGTGCAAATAACAGAAACAAACTAGTCCAGAAATTGAACTATTAGTAAGAAAGATTCTCCCCTTGGCAAGTAAAAGAGTAATGTTGTATGCATTTGGGTTCATTGCAGCTTATTGGTAACCCACCCGCTCTCCTCTTGACAAGTAAAATCATCTGGCACAAGACAGAATGAAATAACGAAGTACTTAGGGGGCATATATTAGGGTGCAATGCAACTTAATTGGTTAATTATTTACAGTATATAAGATTTTGAAAATTGTTCAGCAAACTAAAGAACTACTCTATATTTTACTTGGTATCAAGAACTTGGTGGATAACTAGGTGTAGGCAGCTCCCCCAGAAAGCATTTAATAGTTAGATAACTTGTTCTCTTCATGTAGGTTCATATGTAATGCTGCCACTGCCTGGTATGTATCCAACACCAAATGCAACATCACAGTCAACAGATGAAAAACAAACTAAGCTTCCATCACCTACACAGATCTACCCTGACGAACCGCTTGAGGAAAACAAGGTAATGATGACATTGGGTATTCAAAATGTTTTGAATTGAAAGAAATGTCTAAATGAATGATCTGTTATAAACTTTGTTTTCATTATGTTACAGGGCAGCACACCAAGTGAGCGTCTTGCAACGGAACGTCTTCTGAGAACAACAACAGAATCACCATGGGAGAAAGGACTTCGGCTTGCAAAAGAAGTATGTAAAAAATTCTTGATGTGCAAGTTAGATCACTGTTACTATGGTACTCAGGCCTTAAAATATCTTTTCCAGGGCCGTCTGACAAAATGTTCGGTGACGTTTTGAGTTTGGGTCGGACATATGTCCGATGACCTTCAGTTCAGTTTTGACTCGGAAATAAGTCTGAATGACACAAATGAATAAACGGTAAATGTTGTAAAGATATTAAATAATTTGTTTCTTTCATACTTATTTCCAAGCCAAAATTAACTTGCTTGCCAGAACAGCAGTATTAAAAAAGATTTCGACAACTTAAGCCCGTTTTCCACTTCACCATTTCGCTGGCCGCCCCGCGCTCGACTACGTAAAAACAACATTTCCAGTTCACCTTTTATACAATAGTACTCTGATTTTCCATTTAACATACAAGCCTCTAGTCCTGGTCTAGGGTATACATTTTGATTTACGTTGGACAAAGCTACAGTTCGGTCAGACACCAATACACTCGGGTCGGACAAACAATAAACCTCAGTTTCACTTTGGTCGGACAGAATGTCCGGTGGTTTCCTCTCTACGTCGGACAATTTCACGAATGGGTCGGACAATGTCCGTGACCGACCGATATTTTAAGGCCTGGGTACTGTTGACAGAGTTGAAATAACCTCCTGTATACCTAAATTAAGAACATTTCGAACCCTGTGTAGCTACATGAATTCTTCAGTTGTTAGCAAATTGTGATATCATCAACATGGTGAACATCTCTTTCTGC